ATTGGCAGTTGCAAGCTGAATGTGAACCCAAAACAGCCCAAGAGAGACCATTCCCACATGGGTGGGGTTCCGTTCGACCAGAATCAGCAGAATGTCCACATGGACTGTTGCGGAACATGTCCACATGGCCAGTGTTTATGTTTCTGGCACCTTTTTGAGATATTGCGGAAATTGTAGTTGGGGTTGTTTTCAAGAAGCCAAGAAACCATCCTCACAATGTAGCGACAGGGGCGGAACAGCCCGAACCAACTTTGTCGGCAACCATGTAAGGATTTGCTAGGAGATGGTCATTGGTCCTGGGTAGATCTTCAGGTCGTGTTTTGTGTTTTGTGGTTTTCATTCTGCACAATGCTTGCTTTGGGGCACGGTCTTTGGTGCATGTGGACTCTCTTGGAATTTGTCACAGGAGCTGGTTGCAAGAAGTCGGGATTGTGTGGTTTCTGTCTTGGGGACCCCTTAAAGATCCTGGAAATCGTTTGCAGGCCAGTTGTTCCTGTGTGACGTCCTCACTTTGAGGAGCAACAATGCCATAAATCGCCTCACCAGCTAAGGAAATGGTGATTTCGAGTTTGGATTTGTCCCATTGTTCCCTCCTGTAACGACTTCCTGTTGGAGACCTTTTTGTCGCCAGGCTCAGCGGGAGGGCTTGGAAGCTCAAGCTCAGGAGCTGCGCGTCTCCGCCGCACGTGGTTCGCCACTGGAATGGTCAAAGGAGGTCAAAACATCCGTGTCAGCAAAGATGCAACCCATGACTTGGGTCTTTGAGGAGTTGGGTTTTGCTCAGGGTGAGGCTATGTTTAGTTTCCCTATGGGGCATGGGTGAATCCCCTTCTGAGGAATGTGTTTTTCCAGCTCTTCAAGCAAATCCAAGGCATTGTGTATTGTATACAAAGAAAAACAATATATATTTATTTATTTATTTATTTATTGTTTTACATCTCCAGTCTTTTGCAGAGCTTTGGGAGGCTAGTGTCATCAATCAATGTCCGTTGGTTGAGTGCTGTTTGTACGGAGGAATGGGGAGTCCTGATGTAGCTTCTTCGCGGTTCACAGGCTGCATCTTTGGCTTAGGAGGTGCCTGGCTTTGGGGCTTTTGGTTTTTCTTCCATGAGTGATGAAGTACTTACGACAGCGTGGGCGTGAAGTTCCGGTCATGCTGCGCTTCCGCGCCCTCCGGTTGCGCGGGGACCGCAGGAGGTTGGAGCTGCACTCGTTCCACTTGAGGGACGCAACCTCCGCTTGGAGTCTCATCCTCAGGTGAGAAAGGAAGAAGCCCCCCCCATGTAAGAAATGTACTTTTTTTTCGCATGTCGCATGCCAAGTTTCGCCTGTAAAACGCTGAAGAAAAACAACACGAAAACCCCCGATGACTCTGGAAAACCCTTGAGATGCGAGAAGTGGTGTGAAGAAAACACGTGCACACACAAAAACATAAAACCTACTACTGTTCCAAATTGTCAGGGTCAATTCATGACTGCTCTTGGTGGTTATGTGCTTGGACAGAGGTGGGAGGGCTTGGACCGCTGTAGCCTTGTGCTACACCATTGTTGTGCCACATGGTTTCCAACTTGCACCAGGCATGACAACGATAACAAAACGATAACAATGACGATGAGACAGCAAGCCTAAAACACCTTTCCGTAGGCAGGCCACCACATGGGTGTAGCTGGAATGAAGTGTGCCTAATGTCTTCATGTCTGCAAGGTTCCACACACCCCATGCATGTAGTGCACACACTCCATGGTACTACATTTGTTGCAGTTAGTCAACGTGCTGTAAAACATACGGAGGAAAAGAAGAAAACGTCAAAAGTTGTATAGGGAAAGGTAGAGGGTGTTGTACACAACCTCAGGTGGCGCCGCTACTAGTAACAAAGGGCATTACTACTAGTAGCAGGATGGTACTAGTAACAACGTATAATAGAACATTACATGAACAATCCAACAACGCATGTTGTTTATCCGAAATGCGGTGAAGGTCTCTTCGGGTGCGAGTTTGACTGATTTCTTTTTCTTTGCCCCCATTCATCACATGTCATCACCATTTATTTGGTCTTTGATTGTTGCCGATTTGGGTTGTTCCTTCGAGACCCTTGCCCGCAAAGCTCGTTCCCATGGAACAGAGATGCAAGGTCCATTTGACCTCTCGTTTTACAGATGTTTTTGCCTGGCCGAGGTTTCGTGGTCGTTTGATGTCGTTTCTGTTACTCCGTCTTTTGTGTGGTCATTTTGTTCTTGTCCTTCGAAGTGTGCAGTGGTTTCGTTTTTTGTCCGTTTGCAGTTGATCAGTACTTCGAAAGTCTTTGTCGTGATGGGTTTGACGACTTCCTTCAGTTTGCGCTAGACACTGCACTAGTCAGCGGCAGGTCATGGATCAATTCTGATGTTGTGGCCGGTCACGCACTGTGGTTGGCCCCCCCGCTGCATTTTCTTCAGTATATAAACTTTAATTGTTCAGATCAATCCTTGCTGATACACTCCGATTGAAAAAGAAATCACTGCATGTCTACTGCTGGAAGTGTAGCCCACGCCCCAAAACCTGGTAAAGGGATGGGTAACCTGCACATGGTGTGTCCGTACCATTATGCTTGGTAGCAGACCTTGCTTGGTAGCAGAACAGTTGGATGAAGACCTGGTAGGTCGGTGCTGTTGGTGTATCAACATATTTGTTCAACGAAAGTTTACAATTTGTTGCCCCTATTTGGGAAAGTTGTTTTCCAGGGTGTCACATGGTAACATGTGGTATAGGCACCCATGTTCGGACCAGAGTGTCCGGCATGACATCGACTTGGACCGATGTGCGAGAGGTAGTAACATGTGGTATAGGGTTGCAGGAGTGGTTGCAGGCTTTGTCTGGCATGGTTTTGGCGGTTTTGGGTTCAAGGCTGTTCGAGCCTAATAGTTTTTCAACTAAAAGGCAGGTTATCCTCCAGTTTTGTGTCCTTAGCGGCTTGAACCGAATCGGCTGTTTCCAGTCAGCCGCCACCACATTCCTGAAGCAAACAGCAACGACAAATATCAGAAACAACGGGCCAAACGTCGTCATACTTCATCCAGAAAAGCCCTCAGCACTGCCAAGTAGGGGACCTTCAATATTCAGGGGGGACGTTTTTCCCTGTGTGAAGCCAACCCACCAAAGATCCAAGTGTTTGCTCCCCAGACTCTCCCCCCACTCGTCCGCCACCGTCATTGCGGACGGACGCGACATGGGAGGGAAGCGTGTGAACATGGCACGGACGGCATGTTTGGTGCTGTGCCTTGCAGCTTTGCCAGCTTTGGTTGCTGCCCAGGAAGGCGAGGAAGCGAACCAAGGGGTCGTAGACGGCCCATAGGGGTTGAGACCCGGATGGGAGGTGCAAGTGGTACTGGTAGGCTTTTGGTGGAGACAACGTGAGATGCTCAGTTCTAATCTTTGGAACTGCATGTGGCTCCCTGGCTGCCCTCAACCTAGTGAGTTGCAGCACATGTTGCACCGTGGGGGCCTATGAATATATGTTTATATAAGATATGGTTTTTGATATACAACTTTAAGAATCGTGTTTGCAAAGACCTGAGGCCAGTTTCACATTGTTTACGCATCCTAGCATTTAAGTTTCCTTAGAATCTCACAAGGATATTTTTGAATAAGGCTTGGAACACGGACCACTGAGAAGTTCCAACACACGCTTTTGAAGACGCTCACGGGGCCGCAGAAGTTCGACGCCGCATGCCTGAGGTGAGACGAATGTGATCAGACAGGTCATTGAGAAGGAGCGTTCGTCCAGGTGGCGCAGGTCTTTCATGCCAAACAAGAACTGCATTCACAAATCAGCGAGACATAAAAAGCCCTTGTGTTTTGAATATTATTTTGAAAATGTGATTGCTGCAGCAGTTTATGGACTCCCTTCAACCTCGCCAACTGTACCATCCGATACACCATTCTTTGAGTGGTGATGGAGGAAGTTTATTTTTGTTTTTTTTGTTCCGAGCGTGTGGTGATGTGGTCCCGGAACTGACCATTGGTTACTCCGAGTTCCAAGCAGGACACCCTGGACCGGAGAATGGGCAAGACCCCAATGGGAAGATTTGGGTACGTGGGTTTAACGGAGGTAGGGGTATGCATGGATCACGGATCTTGGAATCTTGGGAATAGGCTTCGTCTGGTACCACGCAACGCCCAGCTTTCATATCGTGCGTGACCAACGAACACCGGGCGGTTCCTAAAGATCGAATCAGCATGACGCGACCACTTATCACTTCAGGGAGCACGTCAAGATTACGCACCTGCCGGATTGATTGCATGAGAAGAAAACACCTGATTCATTTAGCATCCATCACAAGTACATAGCCTGCCTCGCAAAGAGATAGATAAAGATCACAAGTGAGCTCTCAGCGAACTGTTTTACAAAACATATGCAGTATATATAATATCGGACAATTTGATTCAACTCGTTCTTTTCTCTCGAACAGTCGGGTGGACATGCATACCCCTTCGGTGCCAGGACCCCTCCGTTTGGGGGTCGAACCCCTCCGCCCCGCGGCTCGGCCGGAGAGATCGGGCCGACGGGTCGCACGGCTCGGCCAGGACAACAAGCTCACGCCGGAGGAGGTGCATCAAGCGACAGAAGAGGTCTTGCACGAAGGCCCCTTTTGGGCGCCGGAGAGATCGGGCTACCGGAGACACCGGTTCGGGGGTTCTGCAACATCAACTTAGAAATTCTGCAAGCAGACCAAAATTATGACATGCCAGTAGTACTTGCATCGTGTTTAAGTCATTGGTTTAGATGTGGCACGTGCCTGCGAAACTCAGAAAAGTACTTCTGGGAATCAGGTTCCTGGCAACCATCTCCCTTTGCTGCTACAGTGCCCATTTACAGATCAGGGATGATCAGGGTGCCCCTAATCATTGTGTTTATATAAAGTTCTTAATCCATCCGGTTGAACAACCAATCAGTGCGTGCATTGTTTGTGTTGTTTGTGAGTGTGACGGTCATGTTCACACGTTTGAATCAAGGCAGCGGCATGTTGATCTTCGCCGCGGCCTCCATGATGTTTGCACTGCTAATCGGCAACATCCTCCATGAGTTCGAGGCCGATCCATGCCTGGCTCGGGTTGGTTGGGCCGGGATCACGTAGCAGTCCAGCCAGCTTTTAGGATCCACCTCGCTTTGGAGCGACAAACATGTGCAATTGAACATGCAACTACAAGCTAAGAGCCGGTCATTTGCCGGTCATTGTGCTTTGATCAAGCCACCAAGCAGTCACCCAAGCTCTGGTCCGCCTTCATAACTGTTGCTTTCCCTCAACGGCTCAATCTTGTGAGTCGAGTGAGTCCCAGGGGAAGAATATTGAAGCATTTGTTTTTTGTGTGGAATGAGTCATGGCCGTAGGAGCCTCAAGAATCTCCTGGGAACCCTCGAATGCCAAGCCTAAAAACAGCCCAAGTCTCCAGCGCCCTGTGGACATCCTTGAAGTCAATAACTCCAAGGCAAAAGTCCAAACGTCCAAGGTGAGCTTTATCTCGGAGTCCATGGTGATCATTTTGATCGGCTACGTCTTGGGCATCATTTTGCCCACACGTGGCGGATCAGTCGTCTCATGGGCCATTGGAGACGTCGGAGTGGAAGAAGAAGGACTTGGAAAGCGCACTGAACAGGGTCCTGTATGCTGTGATTTCCCGTAATTGTGTTCCTCGTCAATTATAATCAATTATAGTCATATGTATATTCATATATAATAATTATATAATGTTTCCACTGTACTTCTGCAGCCTGACATCGTCCCCTTATGACCCTTTCGACCGATGCTTGTCATTCTCCAGTTGGATGTGAAGTAGTCCTTCGTCCGGTCCTCACGTTTCTGGTCATTCGTCCGGTCGTTCACCCGGAGAAGGACTTGCTATGGCCGGAGTTCTGAACCTCTTCCTCCTTCCGATCATCATTTTCGAGGTTTCGGGACCTGGAAGGTGAAAGGATGGGGCCATAGCTGGGTGAGTGGGTCCTAAGTACCGGCCAAGCATCGTTCTTTTTTCTACACAGGAAGGTCCAATTGTAACTAGACAAAACTGGGGTTCAGGGTAGCATTTAGAAACCTAACACCTACTTCCAACTGCTTCAACCAGTTTGGTAAACTATGTAGTTGCTTTGGGCAGGTGATTGAAATGTTAGGTCGCTTTACTAAAGCAGGCTCATTTCACATATTTTACCAATTCTTTGCAGAGCATAGGGGGCCGTACTGAGCGGATAAAATTGGTGGGTTCAGTGCCTGGACTTTATCTGTGTGCCAGCCTGCCAGCAACCTATCCAGGGGGTCTATCCTCCAAAAAGATCCACCCAAGTAAGGAGTGTTTTGGGGGTGGATATTTTAGGGTCAGTGCATCAAAGCTACTGTATCCAGAATTAACGCACTACATTTTCTAGAATTTTATCCACTCGGTAGTGGGAGTAGAAAAGGAGAGAAAAGATAGAAAAGAAATAGGTTAGAGAGAAGAGTAAAAGACACCAGATTGAACAGCAAAGAAAATCAAGAAAAGAGAGAAGGGAGAAGGGAGACGAAACATGATCGCAGACGATGGCGATTCTTCTTGGATCCTGTTGAGCCTAGCCTAGCTGAAACTTGCGTGTCCGTTTTTTCATCTGGCATTTTGCTCGTTACCTGGGGTTACCTGTGCCCTTGGGGTGGGAACGCCATGGAAATTTGTCAAGGTGTCATTCATGTTCCCACCAGGCGCTTTGAAAGAAAATGAAACTGTTCATAAAGGATTCTTTTCATAATCTCATAGATTGTCACTATTCTTGTAGCAACAAACCTCAGACCGTGGATTTTTTCCACAATGTCTCCTGGAGGAAGTCCCCATGAACATCTCTTTGGAAAATTGGATCTTAAACTTTTTGTACAAGTCTTCGACCTGCAGGCAAAATATGCAACGCAGCAGAAAAATACAGAACCTGCCCAAAAACAAACCAACCTTCTAAGGTTTGCAGACGTCTGCAACAATCCGTAATTTTCTTAGACGCCAGACCACCACAGAGCATACAGGGCGCTGGAAAAAACCTGAGCCTGGGATTTTTTCTTTTTGCCTCCTTCGTCGATTAGCATCTACTTTTGAGGAGCGGCTTTGTCGATCCTATTCGTCTAGCTTGCTAACCTCAGGCCTTCTTAAAATTATCTATCTGCATAGGTCAGGGAGTTTTTGTTTTTTTTGGCCTTATCTTGACCCTCTAGCCTTCAAATTTATCCACCTGTTTTGGCTGAGACAGGGTTAGTCCCGGGAAAATATCCTGTACTGACCCTGGGTTTCAGTACAACCGGGTATGCAGAGCTCAGCTGGTGATGAGCTTTGGAGTAATGCTAAAGAATCAACGCAAGCCGAAGCATGAACATGCTTCAAGGAGTGGCAAGAGGTCCAAAACTTGAGTGGGCGCAAATTGGGCTTGCCGCTTCGGAACTGGTGGCATTTTACCGAAGAGAGTTGGCGCTCTTAAAGGCATGGTATGTATCCCAGTGCATCCAGTGATCATGCAGGCCACCACTTCCAAATACTCATCCGTAGACCATATACCCCAAAGTCCTGGTTCTTGGTTGGCCAAGGAGGGTCCACAGGGATACCGCAGGGGTTGCTCCTCCATCCCAGATTTGGCATAGTTTATATGATCGTTAAACTTGCACCTTGTCCACCCATCAACATATCTTAGAACATCTTAGAGCCCTGAACCATATGAAGGACTTTGGATGACCACCTTTTCACAGCATAGAACTGCTTCGACGCGACGCAGACTGCAAAGCCAACCCGTGTAGTCCCTGCTCCAACATATGACTTGAATCCCTTTCAGCCCCTCCTTTCACCAGAACTCCTTCGTCGCGCTTCTATCGGCCTTCGACCATCGATGTAGGCTGGCTGGTCCATGAACCACCGGGCCTTTGTGGACCTCATGCGGCTTGGACATCGAAGCGCGCCATTTGCATCCTTTTCACGGAGGTAAATGAGAAAAAAGACAAAACGCTTTGATGGAGCTAATCACTCCTGGACATAAATCACTGTCAAGAGCTTCACCAATGAGCTGGACTGCCGAGTCCTGTCTAAAGCGTTTCACTTTGAGCTTTGAACATGAAGTACGGACTTGCAGATATATATATATATATATACTGTTGATTCTGAGAAAGTGTTTAGGCACGAGGGTTTTGGCAGTTTTTCTCGGCATGCCTTTTGTCGGAGAGATCTTGCAGGTCCACTGAATATACTTAAATGCCGACTCTGGGCTAATTTATCAACCCCCCTAGGGACTCAGATCTGCCGCCAGTGGCGAACCGGGAAATCACCTCGCCTCGGCCCAGCGCGTTCGCCTCAGCCCAGCACGTTCGCCAGTCGCTTTTTCGCATTGCTCCACACGCAATGGGTAACTGCTGCCAGGGAGAGGCCAAGGTGGCCGACCGCCACGTCCAACCTCAGAAGCCCGAAGTGACGGTCTTCTATGAGCGAGAGACCCATACAGTATGCGCAGTGGTGAGAGATCCATGCAGCCAGAAAGTGGCGGTGGTTGATTCCGTGATGGGCTTTGACTTCTCATCCGGAAACACCAACTCTCAGCATGCTGATCAAGTCATTGACTTCATTCGGAAGAACGGTTTTGAGGTTCAATGGATATTAGAGACTCATGCACATGCTGACCACTTGTCCGCCGCGCCATACATCCAGGAGAGGCTCGGGGGCAAGATCGCGATCGGTGAGAACATCCGACTTGTTCAAGAAGTCTTTGCAGGGGTCTTCAACCTAGGACCCAGTTTCCACAAAGATGGCTCGCAGTTTGACAAGCTCTTCGCAGATGGAGACAGCTTCCAAATTGGTGGCTTGAGTGCAAGTGTGCTCTACACGCCTGGACACACTCCTGCATGTGTATGCTACTTGATTGGTGATGCTTTGTTCACAGGAGACACCTTGTTCATGCCTGACTATGGGACAGCACGTTGTGACTTTCCAGGTGGATCTTCGAAGAAGTTATACCAGTCCATCCAAAGGATCATGTCACTTCCTGATGAGACCAGGGTCTTTGTCGGCCACGACTACCTCCCAGACGGCCGAAGTGACTTCACTTGGGAGACCACCATCGGCGACCAGAAGCGGAATAACATCCACTTCGGAGGCGGCAAGTCTCAGGAGGAGTTCTGTCAGATGCGCGACACGCGCGATGCCAAGCTGGCCCTTCCAAAGCTCCTGGTGCCATCAGTGCAGGTGAATATCAGGGCTGGTCGGTTCCCAGAGCCAGACTCTCGGCAGGTGGCTGGTGTTTGTTTGTGTTGCTGACTCTCATTTCGGGTGATCAACAAGTTCAAGGTCTAGGTGTGAGATTTGCTTTTTCATTACTGTGTTTTTATGTTCATCTACTTCCTCCTTTGTGGGTCACTTCTTAAAGAATCTCAGGATTCCAATGGTCATGTGGCTTTGACGCTGCCGATCAACAAGCTCAGTAACAGTGGGACTCTGCACCCATGAGTGTGCCAAAGGGGTCGCATTCTCACCCAACAAGAACAACTTTCCTGAGCTGGCTGTTGTAAGGATCTTTAGGTTCGCTTCAGAGCCAAAAAGACCCAAACCCTCCTCAACAGGTTTGAAGGTGTTATTTTTTGCAGACTATATATAAAGTCGCATATATATATATATATAAAGTCGCAGGTGGTGTCCTGTTGGAGTGTGCAGTGCAGATTGTAATTCTTTGATATTATTGGTTATTGTCTTGTCACTTATCAGATGGTATCAACAGCCAATGCAGTTTCTGCTGGCTTGGTGCTACAGGCCTTTGTGCTGTCAGTCATGCCAGTGCCCGTTTTGTGGGCCCTTTTGGTGGTGCTACCTGCTGAGCCAGGTAAGCTGCATTGCAAGGCAGAACGATCACGATGTGAGAAAACGATAGGCATTGCCGATTTGCTCATGCAATCCGTGCAGTTCGGGCGGTTCGCTGTGGTTCGTGGGGAGTCAGGATGTTGCAGAGGTAGCCAAGTCCTAATGGCTGTGCGGTTTGGAGCAACGGCTGAAGCTACTAGGACAAGAAGCTACGTTCGGGGCTCCTGGCATCGCTACGAACGGAGCGATGGGGCGCTACGAACGTAGCTCCTGGCCTTACTACTAGTAACAAGGTTCGCTACTAAGACCAAGAGAATCCAACAGAAAACCCGTTGGGACCTGGTGTCCGACCCGACGGGACTCCAAAGAAATGCGAAGAACGCTCGACGCGAACGGGAATGAGGATGAAGGACCCTCATCACGATAGCTGATGGATCCCATCACTAAAGCTTATGATGCTTATGGATCCCTGTGGATCATTGTGGATCCACAAAAACCATCATTCATCCTCATTCATCCTCATTCCTTCAGAATTGAGCACCTCATCTCAGTCTTTTGATCCTATCCTCGTCCTTGAGAGCACCAGTCTTTTCAGGCTGACGATCTTGACTTTCGCGGTCTTGGGAACATTGATCTCCATGGTGGTGGTGGGTCTTTTGATCAATGCCACCTGCGACGTTCACGGCGTTTGCTCTGCTCCCTGGCGTTCGATGCCTTGGGGGATGAGGGTGGCAAGTGAACCCCCCGATGTCCGCTTTAGAGCGGTTTTGCCCACTTCCGTGTTAGCGAGTCAGAGTTAGCGAGTTGCTTTGAAGAAGCGTCAACCAAAAGGAGAGGCTGCAACCACAGTCTGACCTTCAATTTCTCCTTTGACCGCTGCTCCTCTTGGGTGACGCTTGAGCACCCTTACAAATCCACATTTGGTAGAACCTCCTCCAGGAACGATAAGGTTCACAGAAAAAGATCATAATAATATTTTAATACATGTTGTTATGTTAGGTGTGTCCAAACCCTCAGGAACGATAAGGTTCGCAGACAAAACGATAACGTTGGGAAGAGGGCGCACTGCACCGCATAAGAGGTTTTGCACGTCGCTCATATGTGTATATGTATAAATATGTATCTGTATCATTCTATACTAATGTATGTATATGCTCTACCAGCTTTACCCGCAGTTACCGGACTGAGAGTCGTCACCATCATCATGATCATCCAAAGTGTGAGACCAGTTCATGACAGTTCTTCATTCTTTCAAACGTCAAAACATCCACCGCTTGTATTGGGGATCTCAATCCCCACCGGCCCACACTTTGTTTGCTTCACCCAATTGTCGTTCTCAGGTCAGAGCCGCCTTTACCTATGCGGCCTTGATCTCTGCAGTGGACCCTGTAGAGCCTCGACTCATCGCTGCTTCCTCCACCCCTGTGGTTCGTCTGGTTTGTAGATGGCCACAGTGCACCACTATGGGTGCGTTTTTGTAGTTATCCCACAGGTTGGGTCATAGATCAAGGGAGGCAGTCACAGAGAGAGAGAGAGAGAGACACAGAGAGAGAGAGAGAGAGACAGAGACAGAGAGAGAGAGAGAGAAAGCAAAGAAAACCATTAAGAGCAAACACACACACACAAGTACTGGATTTTGTGTTCAATCTTTGCGCCTTCAGAAAAGCTGTGCATTGCTCAACAGTTTGAGACAGCATGGGCTTCCACTCCCAACTCCAATGTCTAGATGTTCAGCATCTTAGGCCACTTTAGCCACCTATGCTCATTTGCAAGTGGACCCCTTGCTGAACATTTGCGTTTTTGGCGAGTCCGTGGTGTCTTGGCTGGGTGGCTGGGTGCCGTGGTGTCTCGTCTCAGCACACTGGGTGGTTGGGCCGGGCCTCATTGCTTCAAGTGGGCCTTCTGCAAGAGTTCTTCCTGTTTGAGTGGCCTTGTGCAACTTGCATAGATGTTGTGTCATGGATCAGGCATTCCGAATGAAGACATCAGCACCCGCACCCTTTCAGAAATCAGGATTAGTGAGATTTGGGTTGACAACCCGGTATCATCATCATCGGACCGTAGTCGACGTACACGAATTCCAGCCATCCATTTCACAGCGTGCACCCCCCCACCAATCAATACAGATTACATAACGACCAATTATGAATTCCATGTTTCCATTTCAAGCTTCCAATTGACTTGCAGGTGAATGATGCCGTGGCCATCGTCCTTTTCCGTGTCCTCAACACAGGCAGGTGGATGATACGTGTGGCCGCTGCCTGCTTGCTCCTTGATTCCTTGACACGTTCAAGTCAGGTGGTCTTTTTACTGACACCAGCTTTAATGTCGTCTCTGGCAGACGCTTGCCTCAACATCCTGGTGTTCCGCATCTTTGAAGTTGGATTCAATCGGGTTCACCAATACACTAGACCCGGCAATGTAGACTCGCAGAAACAACCGTTGAAGGTGAAGAATGGCATTTGGGAAGACTACCTTCCCCACTCAAAAACCAATGTAAAACAATGACTGACAGGCACATGGAAAAGGATGTCAACACCGTCGGCACATCGTCTCCACTCTCCGATCCTCGACTAATTGGTGCTCGTCGGTCCCAGGAATCGCTTCGCAGACGTCACTTTTGCTCTTCGGGTCCGTGGGTCTTGGAGTTCTCTTGGGCTTCATGCTGATGAGCCTCGGACAGAGGTCCGGACGGAAACAAGCTGCGGAGACAGACAGCACGGAATGCCGCGGGGGATGCCACAGGGGATACAGCTCTGTGGATCCGTAGAGTGTAGGATGTTTGTGGGTGAGCCCAGGCAGAATTCTGAGCCAATGATGCCAATGCTTGCTGTGATTGTACAGTTTTACTTAATATAGTAACTAAGTCTTCCGGCAACCTGTCCTTCAGACATCACCAGACGAACAGCTCAAGCTTTTCAATGCGGGTGGGAGTAATTACTGCAGTGTGTTTTCATGTTATTTTACCACCAGCCCTGTGCACAGCGCGCAAATGCGAATGCTGCCGTAGCGACGGATGGCAGTATGGGCTTGGATACTACCCAGCTCGACGTGTCGTCAAGATTCGAGTGCAAGACGAACAAAGCATGCTTTCCTAATGCCACACTCTTTTAAATCATTTAGATCATTTTAAAATAATGTATTCGAATTCTAGGCCTTCTATTCTTGTATCCACCATTCCGGCGAGTGGCCTTTTGAAGAGCTAGTTGGCCATCTATGAGTTTTGAGTTTTGACCAACTCTCAGTCCTAGTTCAGCATCTTTGACCGTGCAGGGACTCCTGGGTTGCATTCACCGTGATTCACCCTCGTTTCTTTCAAGCCGCAGCGACGCAGCATGAGGCTCATTACCAAAGTGAGCCGCGGCAGCCTTGGCGGACGTCATCACAAAACATCAAAAGAACTGGGCAAAAGAAGCTAAAGAGACGAATCAGAGACGAACTCGCGAACTCGCCATGTGAACTTGAGACCTCGGCGGAGGTCTCACCCATTCGACCAGCAACTGCGTCCTTTTCATGTTCTTGTCCAGCTTCTTCATCTACAGCTTCGCGGAGCGTGCGCACGGAACCCCAATGGGGACATTTGAGCCAAAAATGAATGCGGAATGTATGAGTGAGACATGTTTTGCCGTTTGTTGTTTGCATCAAGTTTCAATACTGCATATACGTATTAGGCATAAAACATGTATTTGTAGATGAATTGGCGACTTGCATGTTTTTGTTGCTGGAATGTTGACAAATCAGTTTAGGTCAACATGAGTACCATGAGAGAGTTGGAACACATGTTTTGTTGGTTCTGTAGTTGTACTAGCAGTTGAGTTGTACTATATTTGCATGGCATGCATGTCATGTTCAGTGGAGCGCTGCGGTTTCCTTATGCCCTTTCCTGCTTTGAGTGACCGGACATATACCTGCTTTTCATGGGGTTTGACCACCAACTGTCGATGCGAACCGAGCCAAACGGCTCCTCGGCGACGAGGTGTGGCATGTCCGGAATCATCACTGTGCTCTTCGGCGCCATGTTTGCCAGTGCATTTGCCAAGTACCAGTTCTCCAGTGAGGTGACCATGTTTTGTGCCCTGGTGACACATGACACGACGTGACACGAGGTGACATCGACATCAGAGGGTGTGATTCCGAGGGGGGCCATCTACTGTAGGTCAAGGCTTTTTAACATTTGCCGAACATGTCCTGTGTCAGTCCTTTTTGTGGATCCAGGTTTTGTTAAACAGGCTGGTGGAACATGGCTTTGCCAATGTGTGGGAGGGGCACGGGGCCCCACGATGTTTGCATATTTGTGTGTGTGTCCACTGTGCAGCACGAAAGCGTGGCGCGAGGTGCATTCACCTTGAAGCAAGCAGCCACTCTTGCTGACATGGCCTTTTGGCAGCAAGAGCAGCTCATCCCACAAGGATCAAATCGTATGACCATTCCCGAACGCTACATGGCAGGTATATAAGTTGTAGCTATATAAACCAGTCGTGCTTGGTAAGGACAAATCTCTTCATCAATTCTGTCCATGTTTCTTTGCAGGTCGTTCACTATTTGGACAGGTCAGACACCTAACTATACAAATTTACCACCAGTCTAATTCTGGCTCGCGCCTCAAGCTCAACCTGCCCCTTACATGGAAGTACTGACACTGCTTTTCAAGTCATGTGCCAAAGGAAGGCAGAGCCAGCTAGCAGTTTTGTCTTATCAAGATCATTAGGTCACAAGGAACCTTCCAAAATACCCCACTTGCGCCGCCGGTTTCGCGCTTCGCGGCGTTCGATACGTATATAGGCGGCGTCTATACAAATGCGCTCGTTTTTCTCCTTTCTTTCGCCCGGGGTTGATCGGCTGAGACAACTCTAACTTTGCCAAGGCTGGTTCTTGTCACAACATGTCACAACTAGGTTGCCGGTTTCTTTCTGTTTTTCTCTTGCCGAGGTTGCGGGGATTTCTGTTTCTCAAAGTGACAGGCCCTGTGATCCCGTGATTTCTGACATGTGATCACCGGCGTGAGATCAGGTGGTTTTTCTGATGGTGGGCATCACCGCGGTCTACTGCGATGTTGAAGGTCCGCCTGCGGTCTACACGAGACGGGCGGGCGAGCGGGCTGGCACTACTAGATTTTTGGAGATTTTTGGTACAGGCGGCAGATGGCGGCGGACTTCAGAAGCATCGATACTGGCGTTTGGTCAATAAAAAACACGTCTAAAGGATAAACCACAGCAGACCATTCTGTGGCACTTTCTGAATGCTCATCGATGTAAAGTGAAGTGAGCTACCCATGCTTTGGAAATTGAGGAATGTCTCTTATTTAAAGACATACTGTGTATATATATATATACAGTGTATCTATAAGTACATACACAGTACATATATATATACTATATTTGGACAGCCCTTTTTTCGGCATTGAGCGAAGAGAGAGCATTCTTCCAACCACCAGAGTGACCTTCCAAATGCATCCAAATGCTATATATAATCCCTCGGTGACTCGGTGGCTTTGCACCCATTTGCGTTCATTCCAGGCTTGGTCTTGGGATTGCTGGTTTGTGCCTTCTGCCTGGTGGGGCGAGCAGCAGCCGTGCCTGGCATAAAGAAGTCTTCATTAACTTTCTCAGACTTGTTGGAACCTGCGGAGCGGGCGATTCTGAAGGTTTTTCTGCACAGAAGAAGGGTCAGTGGTTCAGTGGAAAGAAGTGTTGCCGTAGTGGTTGTTTCCATCCAGCCTGTCACACAGCTGGGGCAGGGTCACCTAATTGAGGGTGATTCAGAGAGATGAGTCAGAATCTCATGAGGGTGTTCAGGGTGTGAAATCATGAGGTTTTTCCCTTGGCTTTGCTGACGAATCTCTGCAAGGCTGGGTGAAGACCGCCGGACCAACTGGTCGATTGAGGAACGAAGCATACTGAACACCACGACAGATGTAAACAATGATGTTCCTTGCTTCCACTGCGGATTTCATACTGTTTGTTAAATATAGAGGGGTAGAGTGGATGACTTCCCATGATACCCACCAATCAGAATGCAGCGCTGCTCGAGGAGATGTATCGAAGGGGACAGCCTCCAGAGAAGAAACTGACCCTGGACTGGCGGAAGGTGCACCTGAGTGATTTGGGAACGAAATGGTTGGGAGGCACTTGTTACTAGTAGCGATGCCACTTTTGGAACGATGCCCATGCCACGTTTTAACGAGACTGCAGAGTTGAGCATTTCCATCCAAAACCTGGAGATTGTGGAACTTGAAAAGCGCAGTAAGACCGTTGCTGCCTAAAATGTCAACTTAGCTCTTAACAGGCTGGCTGGCCGAGTGGCCTGTTTTTGTTATTGGACCTAAGCAAGACATAGTAAGACTCTTCGAAAGGTTGTTGGACCTAAATACTGGGACAAGATAGAACGGCATCCACTTCAGAGTGTCCAGATGTCAAGATCTTCCAAATCACTTGGTGAAACCACAAAAAAACATCCGAAAACACCAGGTGAGACTTCCTGGTTTGTGATGATTTTATTCGGCACAGACTCCAAGTGAGTTTGGGTGTCGCATCATCGGACGGTGCGTCGACCAGGTGGCCATCGCCGCACCCCACGCCATTTCGAGGGAGAAAAACACCAGCTCGGCCCATGGGAGGTTGAACTTGTGGGCATCCAATTCAGAAAGAATCCTACTACTCATGTTGAAAAGGAAGTCTTCCCACTTGGTATGGAAGTGGGAAGTAGGATTCCAATTGGTATGTTGAAAAGGCCGTCTTCCCACTTCCTGATGGCCTCAGATCTTCATGATGTGGCATGCCGGCCTCCGGGGCGGCCGCCCCGAAGCATTTGGACGGGTGGAGCCGCAGTGGGAACTCGGCGACTTGGGTGGGTTGGTCGGTTGGAAGATGTTTTGATCAACCGGCTAATGGGATGAATCATGTTTACGCGGTGGGTCAAGCAAGGCAGCAAGTTAAGAGGTGAAGTTTGGCCTGAAGGGCGCCTGAAGCTCAAATGCTTGTTTTGGAATCTGTCCAGATATTTCCAGCAGCCCTGATGGGACCAGACCAAATTGCGCCCTGGTTTCCTCTGAGTTGGCTTGGAGTCGGCTCAGATCACTGGCACAGGGCAGATACCTGCCATCGGAAGCTGAACAGGCCCAATAGGCACAGCTCATCACAGCTCTAGGAACATCATATGCAGGCATGTTCACATATATTTATTGACGTTTGAGGGATGAAAATGACCCTGGGTAGGTCACCTCAGCTTGAGACAATCGTGTGGGAGTCTTGATGTCAGGAAGTTACAGAGACCCCCAAAAGACTCAAACAAGCTTTTGAACCCTGGAATCATTTCATTTCACTGTCCAACAGGTCCATCAAATGCAATATGCATCCAAAAGCACATCCACGACAACTGGCTTCAGGAATTGCCTTGGTGCTCACATTGGAACTTGGCCCTTGGGTCGATCAAGAAAAGCCTGGGACCAAAGATCGGCTTCGGAATGCCACTGTCCTAGTCATCGTCGTGAGCTCAGTCGGCCGGTTCGGGGTCAGTTCGCTCGCTCGCTGGCTTCGGTGGCCGATGCAGATCGGTGGGCTGCAGGGTGCTTCTTTTGGCACAGGCCCTTCCAGTGTTTTGGCCAAGTCCATGTTTGTTGATCCATGGCTTGGCCCAAGTCTTGAGCTCTTGGCCGAAGTCGCGAAGTTTCAACGGAGTGCATACTTGGGAGATGGCGCTGGGACTTTGCTTTTGCACAGATGTCCAATTACTATATAGACAATACCAGGGGCCTCCATTGCTACTTTATTTTTTGCTACGTTTCTTT